CAAGGAAATACAAAGTCCAAGACAAAGAGGAGCAAGGAAGCATGGCTGGTAAGTAAAAATGAGTCTCTTCATGGATATGTAGTGGGCAATAACCTACCAAACACTGTTTTCTTCTAAGGGTATATTTTTGGTAAAAGGCTCTGAATTGTTGGAGTATATTACATTCTGAGATTTTGAGTAGGTTACTTTGATATTTTCTTTCCTAAATATTGAAAAAGACACAAACAAGGAAAAGAAGATAAACCATGTGTTATTATACTAAAGCTAATAGGACAATACTGCAGGCAGATAGGGCAGATGAAGTTCTGACAAGAAAATAGCTTTTGGTGTGAAACTTAGAGAATTAGAGAGTAGGCAAGAATGGATATTCTGTTAATGGTATTATTTCTGCCAAGAATAGGCTGTAGGATGGATTCCTTCCTTCAGATTCAGAGTCAGCAAGTTGCAATGCCAATTTAACTATTGATTAAAATCAGTTTGGAAGGCAAAGGCTCCTTAAAATATAGACAAAGCATTGTAGAAGTCCCAGAAATAAAGCCTTACCGGGAAAGACACTGAATCAATACAAGGTTGCCTTGCTCTTGTTTAGGCTAGACTGGACTTTCTGGTACCTCTATGAGAATGCATAATGAGGCACTAGTGCTGGTGATACTCATCTAGGCATGGAGTCCATGCTCAGCTGGCCTTATGTGACATAAGCCTGAAAAGTTCAAGAAATTAAATAAAGAAAAAAACCTACAGAGCAATGTCTGAAGCACAGAAACTGCAGGGATTGTTTTTTTCCCTTATGGAGGTTAAAAGAGCCACAGTTTCCCCATTGACAGTGTTTGTCCACAGAAGATTATTTGAAATCCTTAACGTTTTCGACTTGAAGTCCTTGCGCTGACATCCCTGCGCACAGTCTGCTGTTTGCCTAAACTGCCTGTGCTTTCTTAATGACTGTCTCAGTGTGTTTGCTAAGATACCTAAATGTTCATCTATTTAAGATCTGAACACAGGCTGGAAGGGAAATTGACACAGAGAATGGGCATAAGGCGACTGATCCATTTATAGATCTCCTCCACTTAGCAAAAAAGCTTAAATAAATGGCAAACCACAGTTCTATTGATCAGTATCAATGACTGGCCTGGGTATAAAATTCCTTTTTTTAAAAAAGACAAAATCAGTATATAAAACTGGACAGTAAAAACCTTCAACTACAGCAACAGGGAAATAACCACAAACCAATTGTTTCTGCGTTATCACACTTCCTCTTAAGCAACAATGTGCCAACAAGTTAGCCAAGACATTTCAGCAAGGTGGTCCGCCAAAACTTCCTCCTAAGTATCACACACTAATCTACTCATTATCCATTTTCACCACATTGTTTTCACCACACTAAATGCAAGAAGCAGTAGCAGCATTTAACGAGCAAACTGATACTTGCTGATCATGGTTAACTCTTCCTTATCAAATATCCAGGGTGCATTTTAAGCCCAGTGTTAGGTTGGAAATGTCATAAGGACTCAAGGGATCCTCCTCGTAGTTCCATGGCATATTTAGGACATTTTAATGCAAACAAAGCTCTGTGTGTGTTTAAACATGTGTGCACAGAACTATTTTCACACACACAAACATATATCCTGCAAATAAACTAGAGAGAAAAAAATGTGTGTAACAGAATAGAGGAGTAAAGGCGATGCCTACAGAAAAGGCAAGCACCTAGAAAAAAATCCTGTAAATTTGATGGCATGTTTTCTCAGGGGCTTTTAAAATCTGCAACACACTACTACTACTACTACTACTACTACGGATTTGGCAGCTTGTTTCACAGTCTCACACCTAACTATCTCTTCTATCTATCACTGCTCAGACTCAGTGTCATTACAACTAAGGCATTAGTCACACCTTCAAGCATCATCTTTGTGCATGAGATAGAGCGCTTGTCTGCAAAACGGAAACATCATGTCAGATCCCAGCTCTTAGAAGAGATGAGCAGAGCCACATCATGCTGGGAGCTGGAAAAAAATAAGTATTCCTTGCTCATGAGTGTGCAGCAATAGCTGGAAGTTAGAAGATCCAAACAACATCTACATTCCATTTCAGAGGCACGTATGTGTGCATAAGCACGAGAGCAGGGCAATGCATTTAAATAGAATAAGCTATACTTTACAGGTTATGTGGGAACATGCGGGCTGTCCTGGAGGCCTGGCCTAAGTTCATCTCAGTGTGCACACTGTCATTTTGGCTTGTCCCACAGTAGTTTTTTGAAGTACACATATTAGGGTATGTCACTAATATTTCTGGAATGAACCCTCTTTCTCCTGCCAAGATCCCATGAGAAAATCTGAGCCCAACTAGCAGTAAGTGTGCTGAGTGTAGCAAGCTTGTCTGCCATCAGTCTGGCTACTGGGGAACTTCTGGAACAATCGTCTAGGAATTTCCTAAGACTGCAGCCTTGCTATATGCTGCTTTTTGAATGGAAGAGGAAGACAAAAAATTAACAATCATGTCTAGGACAACATCTACAGCCTGGAGGAGATCTCCACCAAGCGCTCTTCCATATGGACTTGGCCAAGCTGTATCAGAGGATTCTCATCCTGAAGAGTATTGACACCAATCAATCCATACCACTAGGCAAGGAGCCCAGGTTTCTCAGCAGGTCGGCCTGCAAATACAGCATACCTGTAGGAAACCACTTAACTTCCTGTATCTTGGACAGCTGGAGTGGTTTTGATCATTAAATACCTGGCTTAATCATCCAAGGAGGAAATGAAAGGGGAGACAAAATAGCCTAAGCTTCCCTGAGAACTAAGACCCAGGTGAGTCATGGCCAGCCTAACCAGATGATGCTTTAGGCATATGTATGGAAGAACTGTACTCAGAAAGAATAAACGGGCATAAAGCTGTTTTAGTGACTGTCTTCCCATCCTAAAACAAACACCATCCTAAATTAATAATAGGTTACATTGAATAGAATTCATTGTGTCATTGGATTAATAAAGAGCTGGTGGGAACAGGAAAAACAACGCCAAGAAAAGAAGGTGAATTCAGCTGAATTTTCTATTACAAAAGGCTTCTTTCATTTCAGTGCTTAACTCTTCCTCCTTTATATTCATTTCATTAACACAGTTACTGGACTGAAAGAAGAAATCAGAGTATTACTGGAAAAGGATACCAGTCTGTAAAAGTATGATTCATATACTGCTAACTCTCAGTTCATGAAGCAAAATATTAAGCCGGCTCACGGCTTTCCCATTTTGAGGTACAGAAGATTTTTCTCTAGCTGTCCTCCAAAAGTGTAAGGCGCATACCTGTGCACTCCTGCCATTCACACACTTAGGCAATACAACATCACCTGGCTTGCAGGAAGGTGCTTGGGCCAGGGCAGCTAGGAAAGAAATGCATTCTTCTTGACCAGTATTCTGACTCGTGTTAATCTATCTCCACAATGTAACCCTCATTCTCAACTCTGGCCCATAATCTTCAGTCCACAGGTCTGGCATGTATCATACATGTGTTTTAGAAGCAAAGCAAATAACAGGTCTGCAAGGCAAGTTAGCCAGAATAAACAAGGAATAAAATACAAGAAGCTGATGAAACAAACACAACTCTTTCTCCTTGCCATACTGTCTTCCAGGATACATGTAGTTATCTGTGTTTCTTAACATGCTATTTTTAATGATGCTATCATATCACCAAGTAGAAAAAAAAAGTTATGTAATTGAACTGTGAGACTATGATATTCAGTACAGTGTTGTTATCACAAGAGAAAGGTAGAAAGATAGATAGAAATATAGATAGAAAGATAGAAAGGGAAAGAAGGAGGGAAAGAAGGAGGGCAAGAGAGAGAAAGAAGGAAAGAGAGAGAAAGAAGGAAAGAAGGAAAGAAAGACAGGAAGGCTGACATTTAAAGAATAATCACTGATACACTTCACCACCACTATACCACCCAATAGTTACTAACCTTTTCTTCAAAGAGAAAATCTCTGCTATGTATCTGAGTATAGAGTCAAAGCCTACTGAGAATTTATTCTGAAAAATGCTAGGATGTGTGTTCAGGTCATTTAAGAGAAAATAAAAGCACGGCTAGAAAAGGGTGGCTTCTAAAAAGACCACCACTGAAAATATCGCTCACAAAGAGCCCCAAATTAAAAACAACATAATGAAAAGAAGGAATTGTGTTATTACTATAAATATATCATTATAACAGAGTGAAAAACTACTGAATAATGTAATTGTTACAGGTGTAAATACATTAAGAAACAGTTGGATAGACTGTTATGGATAAATGTTTTCGCAGCCTTAGATTTTATTTTTTAAGGAAATGAGCACAGGAGAGAGTGCTCCACAAGCTCGTCAGTTAGATAAAGGGCTGGGAAGGAAAGGAGGCTATTCCTGCTCCACCCCCACAGGAAATATTGCAAACAGGCAATATTACAAGTAGACTTTTAAAGAAGTGAAAGGCACAATCTATTCTTTGAGAGAAGAGGAGAAAGAAGGACATTCAGAGGAAAAGTTGGGAAGCTGCTCATACAGGACGTATTGATCAGATATGGGCCAAGGTGAGCAAAGGAGCAAGCCCCTTCTGTGGTGCTCTATTATTTTTTTACATCCATACATTATATTCAGCTCTCTAATGGACTGAAAAGCTGCTACTCCTCTAATGAGCTTTGATCCAAGAAAAACAAAATAGAAAAGGTCCTCCCAGTAAGATTTAGAAGGAGGATTTTCATGGGAATTGTATTTCTTCACTTACTGTACATATGTGGATAAAGCAAGCTTGTCAGAACGGAGTTTTAGAGATCAGGTACGTTATCTGAGGTAGAAATGTTGTCTTTTGTACATAGGAAGGAAAGGAAAATCTACAGCTATTTGAAGGTGCCAGACATAAGCAGTGTAAAGGAGAGACTGATAAATCTGACATAAGAGCAAGAAAGACAAAGCTGAACCTGGACAAGGTACCATTGCAAAGGCTGAGGGAGAATAGAACGTAGAAAGAGTTTTGAAACTTGACAGCAGAGTAAAAACAATTTTAAAAAAGGGTTTTTTCATATGCAAATTGCCCTATTTAAAAATTATTTTAAAAGATCCCACGTTGCTTTTCCAACCTGGGCAGGTAATTCCTGCCTTTCTAGAGACAAAGCTCCCCCAATCCCAATCTTGCTCTACAGCAGCTGTGCTCCACTGCTAGATTTTTGAAGGATTTCTTTAGTGGGAGGTAGCTTGATGGTTTATTGAAGTGCACAGGTACAGAAGAAAAATAACATACCTACCTGAAAAAAAAAGAACCTTCCATCAGTTTGGCTCTGGTGATGCCAGAGTACATGCAGCAGCTTCCTGCAACATTTTATACACATGCTTTAGAAGTGCTATTGCTCCAATTCTCTCCTACTGCCAAACAGGAGTAAAATTAGCATATTCTTGATAGCTGCTTCTAAAAGATTTTATATATTTTATATACTTTTATATTTAATTATGTGGATAGTTCCTAACTGTCTTCAGAAAGGGAGCCTCTCTCTCTCAAAAGAGGATAAAATATAAATAACTGGTTCCTATAAGATGGAAATCTCATGTGGCTACTAGTTACCTGTAGAGAGTAACATACAACTCTTGGGAGTGAGTCCTTGCTTCTTCCTCCCCAGAAAGCCTTGCAGGTACCCTCGATTTTTCCTTCTCATTTCTTTCCACAGGTATGACGCAGCCAAGTTTGAACTGGCATCTGAAAGAAAATGCAAAAGACCATCACACAAGTAAATTTTCTGGCAAAGAACTGATTGTCAGGAGAGGTCAGGGCTTCACTATCACCTTCAATGGAGCGGAACAGCCAGGGCAAAACTTAACATTCATTGCAGAAACAGGTATAGCTCTCAATTTCTTTCTCACAATTAGTAATGCCATCTGGTGATGTTCTTTTAGCTTGATATTCACTATATGGGAAAAAAATGCCTAAGAGCCAACATGATGTTTTACATAGCCATGGGACTGGTTGAGGTGATTTTGTTTTACTCCTACCTCCACTGATGGTAATAGCTTGCTTCAGTTTCAAACATACATCATGAACTCAGCTACAGGGGAGGATGGTGTTTATTAACAAATATCTATTTCAGACACCTGAAAAACAAACAAACAAGAGTGTTCTTTATTTTCTTTAAAAGGTCCAAAACCTTCAAAGCAAACTAAGACCCAGGCCACATTTGGTATCTCCAGCACAGTGAGCAAGGAGAGCTGGAGTGCAGTTCTGAAGTCCACCACTTCCAACTCTGTGAGCATCTCCATTTCCAGCCCAGCTAATGCAGTCATAGGACGTTACAAGCTGAGTGTGCAAAATGCTTCAAGTGGCAGCTCCTCCACCGCAAACCTCGGCACCTTTGTTTTGCTCTTTAATCCTTGGTCTTCAGGTATGAACATGATACCTTTCTGCTGAAAGAAACAATTCTCTCATTGCATATTTGCAAAATTCTCTACTTGATTTCTCTTATTATTTTTTTTTTCAACAATTCTCTCATTGCATATTTGCAAATTCTCTACTTGATGTTTTTTATTACTATTATTTTTTTTTGCACAGGAGCTGAAACACATAACCTAGCACTGAGAACAGGATATGACTTAACATTTTGTTAGGACCTTCTGGTACATAAAAAAATCAGACCTTTATCACACACATACTGGAGAGCTTCTTGCTCTGAAAGATGTAGATTAAGTTCTGTTTGTGCCAGAGCTTCCCTGCTTTTGCACAAGTTTAGAAGTATACCCGCTCTCAGAGAAACCATGAAAAAGGACAAATCTACCAGCTGTCACCTTCTTCCAGATGAGACAGGTCCATCCCTCTTTCTCCTCTCTAACACATCTCCCTTTCTCCAAATGTAGGAAAATCTGTTTCACCATCTGTTTAAACCAACAAGAACAACAAAGGGTGGATACCTGCAAACATTCCTACTGAGGTTCCCATGCAGGGTTTTCATTTTTTTTGCCAGATGTGGTGTTACAGACCTTTGCTTTGGCTTTTCAGGTGATGATGTGTTCTTGCCGAATCAGGCTGAATGCCAGGAATATGTGCTAGAAGAGTTTGGCATCATTTTCGCAGGCAATAAACATCATATCAACAGCTTTGGATGGAACTTTGGCCAGGTAAATGCATAGTTGAAACTTTGGTGTTTTGTGCTTCTGTTTTCACATAAGCTGGGTGACAAGGGCTTGTTCAGCTTTCCCAGTTTATCATAGCCACCTATCTCGGAAGAACAGTAAAGTCCACTATTAAAATTAGAATTCAAGTCAAGCCCTGCTAACCTCATTAACAGGAAGATTTGTAGGACCAATCAGTGATATGGCCAAGATGCAGCCTGCAGAAATCTTTGTGTCTGCTGTGTGTAAAACCACTGATAGCAACACTGGGGAGCACAGGCCCTGGCTTCACTATATTGATTTGAAGTTTTCAAAAGCCCTTCAAGGTCTAATCTTCACAGCTGTTGAGGCCAGCTTTTCACAGTAATTCCTGGTTGAGCTATGACTTATATCATGGATATGAAAAATGTTAACCAATTATTTGGCTCTCTATATTTTCATTTTTAGTATGGTAGAACACTCTGTGGTCCCAATACACTAATATATTTCTGTAACACAGTTTCAAGAAGATATTCTCAATATTTGCATCTCCATGCTGGATCGAAGTTTAAACTACCGCCAGGATCCTGTCACAGACGTATCTCACCGAAACGATCCCAAATATGTGGGCCGTGTTCTCAGTGCAATGGTAAGCAAGCTATTCAAAAGTGCAAATCACTACCTGTTTGATTAGTCAAAATGGATATGGAGTCAATTCTCAAGAAATTTTAGGCCATTATTTTTGTGCACCCAAAACATGGGCCAGAGAAGCTTCTGGGCGGCTCTCTGATTTCAGCCTACTAGATTTATTTCATCTGGGGTATTCGGATACGTTATTGCTTGGATATACAGTTGTCAAAGTGAAAGTGAAAATAGTGGTGGGGTGGTATGTAGAAGGACCAGTCCCTGGAGGGCTTTAGTTCAACCTCCCATTTCATGTGGGCCTACAGAGGTAGCACAAGATCAGCTCAGCCACTGCTCTGACAAGTTGTCTTCCCAGGAATGGAGGTTTCACAGCTCCCCTCGCTGACCTGTCCAGTGCTGCATTACCCTTGTAGGGAGGAATTTTTCTCTTGTGTCCAATACCACTTTTGCAAGCTGCAACCTTCTGCTGTTGCCTCTCGTCATGTAATCTGCCAGTACTGAGAAAAGTTTGGCTTTGTCAACTATCTCTCCCCACTCTCTGTCAGCCATTTTCCCTAATTTAGTATTGTGTGTAAATTTGCTAAATGTTGAGTCTGCGTCATCAAACAAGCTTACTCTGAAAGTTATGGGAACAGCATTGTGTACATTGATGACACCATTCTAGCATACAGGCAAGTTCACTACACACTGGTGTTTGTTTTCTTGTCTGATGTTTAATGTACTTGTACGGGAAAGATGATAGTTAAATGCTGTTTGTTATTTGAGAGGACAAATATTTCATTTCTTTAAAAAGATAGGACTTCCTGAAGGCCAATGAAGTGTGGCTTTTGTCCACTAAAATATCATTTAAGGCTTTTCTTCCCTTGTATACCCACACTGATTTTTCTATTTTAAACCCTGAATTTATACTTTGGTCAATTTAGTGAATATCTTCACAGGTCAATGCCAATGATGACCAAGGTGTGGTGCTAGGAAATTGGAGTGGAAATTATGAAGGTGGAAAAAATCCGAGCAGCTGGAATGGAAGTGGTGAAATCCTGCAAAGCTGGAAGAAATCAGGATTCAAGCCTGTTAGATACGGACAGTGTTGGGTTTTTGCAGCAGTATTGACTACAGGTATGTTTTATGTAATACAACACTGTACAGATTCTGGTAGAGGAAACATTAACAATAATGTCTACCTGGAAGTCTTTCAAGATATTATGTTATGTATGTTATATGAAGCTTCATATTCCAGCAGTACTTCTTTTTGAATTATGGCTGTTTATTGACTCTTTAGTGCTTAGATGCCTGGGGATTCCCACTCGAACAATTACAAACTTCAGTTCTGCTCATGATGCAGATGAAAATTTACGTGTGGATGAGTTTTACGATGCTTCTGGAAATCATTTGAACAGGGGAGCTGACAGTGTCTGGTAAGGTTCTACAATATTTGATCGTAAGATCTATCGATGAAGAATAGGGTCAGCAGGCAAAAAGTGTAGATTCTATTGACAAAAGTTCTGTTGACTTGTTAAAAATAGTCCTGAAAACAATGACACGTACAGGATTAAAAAAGAAAAAAAAAGTAATCCTATTAAACTCAGTGTTAAATATAAACAGCATTTTTTTCTCTTCCTTAGTCAAACTGAGAATTATCACATAAGTTACAAAGGTAAACTGAAGCCAAAAGAAATACACCTGTGATTACACAGATGATTAAAAGTTTGTGATACCACACTGAAATATCAAACACAGGAGGACTTGATTTAACTGGAACCAGTTTTTAAAAAATAGTTCATGTTAACTGTAGAAGTTCAACAGGACTGCGCCCACGTTTTTTTCTTGCAGCAAGATCATTTAAGCCTGCTACACAATGCACTTTTCAGCTCTGATCTGACTGAGATAGAATCACAGCGAAAATGGTCAGTCTCAGCTAAAAACCTGACAAAACATTTGATACATTTAACTAAGATGAAAGTGTGAATAGGAGTTTAGAGGAAAATGGCCCTTATCTTCATTACTTCTTCTGGAAGCCTGCCTCCTCCAGAAGTGTGTTATTTTTTCCCTTTTTTTTTTTTTTTTTTTGCTCATAGTTTATAACAGCACCATAGGTTTTATTATTTTTTACTCCAATGTTTAATTCCTATGTATTCCCAGTAGGCCAATGGCCGCAGAAAGCAATGGACAAGCTTCAATTTGAGAGTGCATCATTGAATCTGCAGATAAGACATGCATATGATACAACTGCAAAACATGGTATTTTAGAAAAGTAGTCCCTATTCACACATCTATGAATTATCAGAATCAAAGAACAGTCAGAAAACAGCTTCTAGCTACATACTAGAAGAATCCTTAAGTGAAAGCATAAGTTTACAGACTCTTAATATACAGGCATAGCCAGATCAATGTTAAGCCCCAGCAGATCCTGGATGTGGCAGCATCTCCCTGGGACTATAAGCAGATGAAGTCATTTTGTAGCAGTACTGAAGTATCCTAATGCTCTGCCCTGGGCCAGAGATAAGTCCCTCAGAAATCAACAGAAAAGAGAAAATGTAAAGATGACAGATGACAGGTTTTACCAAACCAAAACAAAAGATAGGTAGGAAGAGGCAAAAACAGAATTTGGATGACAAAGTAGATACACCTACTAGTAGATTGCTTTGTTCATTTTTTAATATAGGAATTTCCATGTTTGGAATGAAAGCTGGTTTTCTCGCAGTGACTTGGGCCCCTCATACAGTGGATGGCAAATTCTGGATGCAACTCCTCAAGAAGAAAGTGGAGGTACATGGATTTGATTTCAGGAATAATGCTGAAAAATTTTAAAGTCAATCACTTTCAGAGGGACAAAGAAATTCAACCACTGTCAAAGTAATTTATTTCCTTGCCCAGAAATGAAGTGGCTGAAGAGAATACATTCTCTATTTCACTAGAGAAGCCTCAGCTCCTCTGTGGATCCCAAATTAGGCTTCTAGGACCAGTCTTTCTCAGTTAATCCTACATTTCCAATGTAGGTATCCAGATACTGAAAACTAAAGGATATTATAAAAGAAGTCAAGTCTAACTTCATAATAAATACACAAGATATATTGATGATTAGCCTGGTATAAGTCACTGTGTGAATGAAAGGGCTGGAGTAGAATACCAGGGCTCACTGATAAATAGTATCTGTCTCGGTACCTGCCTACTATGAAACAATTGACTAGTCCTAAATTATTTTTTTCCTTGATGCTATAGGGATTTATCGGTGTGGTCCTGCCTCACGGAATGCCATCAAAGAAGGAGACATAGATCTGGACTATGACTGTCCATTCGTATTTGCAGAAGTGAATGCAGACTGCATGTACTGGAATTATGATTCTACAAATGGAAAAAAAACTTTAATATTCTCTGAGTCTACAGTAATTGGTCAGTTCATCAGCACAAAGGCTGTTGGCAGAGATGATCGTGTAGATGTCACCAATGATTATAAACACAAGGAAGGTAAAGAAAAATTCTGATTCTTCTGGTTGCACAGATGCTTCAATATAGAACTTAAAGAAACTTTAAGATAGGAGTCTGTTGGTGGGCAATTCTGCTCATATATAGGGTAGGAACAAAATTTATACTCAATTTCTTGAGTTCTAATAAAAAGGGGACAGAGAAGGTTAAGGACTAAAATATTCTGCCCTGCCATTTCTGATACAGAGCTGATCTGTGGGATCTGAATAAGGCGAGTCCAATTACTTTGAGTAAAATACTCACTATTCTGTTTGTCTACACTAATGTGCACTGTCTCTGCTTTGTTAAAATTAACCTACAGCACTGCTATTTGTCAGCAGATGAAATGTGTATTACAGAAACCTAAGCTAAATCACCACCTAGCCCAAGAAAAGCAACATTTTTGAAGGGTCAGACAACATGTAACTTTATCAAACCTTTCAATCAGATAGGACAAAAAAAAAATAATCAACTGAATTTTCAAGTGCAAACAATGAACACTGCTATTAGAAATATATATCCAGAATGGTGAAAAACAGAACCCAGAAAACTATCTTCCAATGCCATCAACACTTCACCTTATAGATGGGACTTTTCTGCATTAGCAGATGAGAATTCATATTTATCAGTACTACTACTCTAAAAAGGGTTAGAAATGAGAAATGTGAGAAACTTTGGACTGAAGATTTGATGCCACAAAGAATTACTATTAAAGGAATAGTGGCACAAATTCACTGTAGATCCAGAAAATGATATGTGGCTGTGAAAAACAGGGGTTCTGTTCACCTTTAAGCATGTTCTGCTGACCAATCTTTAGCAGGAGCATAAAGAGAGATTCATTTTAACTGCTGAGGATGATTTTCATGATTCTCATTAACAGGCTCTAAAAACGAGAGAGATACTTATAAGAAAGCCCGTAAGAAGCTGGGACTCGAGGATAAATTTGATCCCACAGCACCAACACCAAAGGAGATTGAACAAAAGCCTGACATCTCAGGGAAGTTCAAGGTGGCTGACACTTTAATAGTTGGAAAAGATCTCAGTCTGATTCTGGTTCTTGCAAACTTAACTTCTGATGATAAGACTGTTCAGGTAAATATGACTGCTTGGAGCACTGTATATACCAGGAAACCTGTTCATGAGATCTGGAAGGACTCCATATCTGTCACTCTGGCTCCTCAGGAAGGTAATTTTCATATAGTTTTTTATTAGAATTGTGTGATTGTTTTATCAGTATATGAGCATTAGCTCTGAAGGTAGTAAACTTGCAGGGGAAAAGCTAAAGCAAACTGCAATCCTCATTTTCTACACAGAAGAGTCTGAAGAGGCCAAAAAAGAAAGCAATGCACTTGAATTTTGTGCATTTTGTGCACAAAGCACAAAAATTGTATTTTGAAAAATATGTATTATATGTGAAAAGAAGGTGCCAAGTAAACATAAAGTTTCAAAAACTGTAACAAAACTTGCAAAGAAAAGACAGGGAAAACATACAAAGCATAGAAATTAACTCCATCTGATTGTCTCCTGGTGAACTACAAGGGGCTAAGTAAGGGACCTAAGATCTTTTTCTGGTGGTGTTTGATATGCCTAAATAGGAGTATTATTGGAAACACGAAATTAAGTTTGTGATAGAAACTTGGGAAAATAGATGCATCAAAAACTCTAAAGGGGAACTAAAAAATGATTGAATCACTATTGATACTGTATTGTGTTAATCCTAGGCTTTGAGTTACTATCAAAAATTGAAAAAAAAGAAGTTTATCTTCCTTAATATGTAATTTTGTGGAGTTGGGATCTACCAGCTACCTCTAAAGTATTAGAAACTGAACTCTCATTGAAGATAGAGCTTACACACAGATGTTTCTAACAGCATTACAGTTAGGGGCTGTTACCTTGGGGCGTCTTGTGCTTACACATAGAGTGAATAACCAAAGGCTGAGTTTAGGATCAGGAGAGAAGTTTTTCACCGTGTCTGATGGCAGACATTTGAAGAGATTTTTGCCCTCTTCTGTCAAGTGCAGCATGCACCATTTACTAGGATTTGTACTTAAATCCCTTGCTTTTGGAGCAACTTCACCATTTCCAACACTGTTTCTTGTTCTCTATTGTGACATTTTACACTGCTAACTTGCCTTTTTTCACATAGGACTATGAAAGATAATAGAAATGCAAACACATAATTTGTGTGCTGCATACCATGAGTAAGAAAGACTGATGAGTCATACCAGAGCATGTCTTATAAGAAATGAGGGAGTACTAGTGAGTTCATAAAACGCCATCTGTCTTACCTGTCAGAGCAGCGAGGAGAGACACGTCGGACAGTGCAGCAGTAAGGGATGGAGGAGAGATTGTAGAGAAGAAATCACTTTGCCTCTGACTGACAGATCTGTACGAATTGGGTTTGCTAGTGATGACTGAAGGTCTTCCTAGTCACAGACACAACAGAGAAGGAAAACGCTAATTAAAGTATGAAACATCTGTTGACTTATAAAAGTGCATATTGAACTCCCTCCCCCCCTTTTTTTTTGTTACAGAGAAAAAATTTCCCATCAAGATATCATATACTGAATATCAACAGCGTTTAACTACAGACAACACAATCCAAGTAACTGCCTTATGCCACGTGGAAGGTGGCATTCCAGTGCTAGTGAGCAGAGACATAACCCTGGACAAGCCTGACATTGATATACAGGTAAAGCACTATCGGGGGAGAATGAGGGGAACTCAGCTCTTATAAGCACTTTCTTCCCTACAAAGAGAAGTTCTGCTCACATTCTGCCATGCCCCATCCTACCATCTCATAATATGGTCTCTGCTGAGGCCTGAGGAGGCTTGGAGAGAAAAGATTACTAAGAATTCCATCTTTCAAGCATTTTCTTTGTACAGGTGCTGGGTGAGGCAGAACTAAATAAAGAAGTGGATGTGGAAGTGACATTTACCAATCCTATTGATGTGGAAGTGATGGACTGTGTTCTGCAGGTAGAAGGCAGTGACCTGCTCAGAGGA